TTCASATGGGTGATGAAAGAACGGTGTTGTCCGTAATGGAAAAAGAAGAAATAGCTAAAGAGAATCAAAGAAAATAAAAAATAAAAATAATTAAGATATTAATTTACCTCTTACTTATTATCATACCATATTAACTGACAAGAAACTCTGAAAATAATATAAAAACAAACAGTCTGGACTATAAAACATCTGAATAAATCAACCATTAATAATAATTAAAAGCTAAAAACGAAAAAACAAACAATCCGTAATTGTTTCGATGAACATATGCGAAAATAAAACGTTCTCATATCTTTTTTAGGTGTCTTTTTTATATGTTTCTGGGCTTGACCATATTGTTTGACTTGACTGCATCTTTATTTATTTATTTTCCATTTTTATTTATTTATAAAGGTGAAAAAAGAAAACCAAATGTGACCCGCCAAAATTTGTTTGCTACCAAACCCGACCCTACAGGATCCATGCCTTTCACTTTTCATTATGCAAAAAGATGCAATGGAGTACAATGTACAACACACCAAGCATAGAGTACAAGAAGCAAATCATAAGGTACAACCTCCTCTCTCCGACCAACCCATTCTTGCTTCAACTTAAAGGTATCATGAGAAAAGTTGCATCTAATCAACGAAACAAAATCATGCAAACTCAAGAATGGCTAATGCATCAAAAGCAAAAGCTATGGAAACTTGTACCTTTTTCATCGATTTACAACCTCAAAACCGTAGTTCGGGTTATTGTTAATCTGGAATTTAGGAAAGTAATTACAGTTTTTGACTGAAGTGGCGGTATTCGAGATTTTTAGATCCAACGGGTAGTAGTAAAGACACCCTGTTTGTACAAGTGAGCGTATGCTCGTTTCTAGTTGTAAGTAGGGGTGCTCACGGCCCGGGTTGATCGGTTTGGAGCCGTTTTAGTAACCCAACCCAATGTTGGCGGTTTGAAAATTTTCAACCCAACCCAACCCAATCCGTTCGGGTTGATCGGGTTGGTCGGGTTGATCGGGTTGTGTTTAAACAATGTAAAATCACATAAAAATAAAGGAAACTTTCCTTTGAAATACGACCGACTATTCAAGATAATATGCAAGTTCATCAAATATTTAGATATTACAATAAAAATATTCAAACCAAATGATAATACATTAATCAACAACAATAGTTTTAGACGTTTCCAACCCCGATGCTTTCG